TCTCTCTCTCTCTCTCTCTCTCTCTCGCATACACACATACAGACACATACGCACTCTCTATCTCTCTCCCCGTATCTATAATCCCTCTTCCTCTCCGTCTCTCTGCCTTCCTCTCGGTTCCGACTGAGCGGCTTTTGACTCGGGCGTACCGAAACGGACGATGTATTTTATGTACAATGCTAGAACGCACGGGCGCACCGTGCGCAACGACCGCCGCGCAGATCGAGAGCACCTCTCTAACCATCGGAATTTATTCAACGAACGATTCGGCCCGCGATACGCGCCAGGGTATGCGAGCGACGCGAACGCGATGTCCAGGCCGGTGCACGCGTCCTCGAAATTACGCCGCTGAAATTCGACGATCACCGGAACGCGCTCGATAAGGAGAACAAGAACAAGAAAACAATAAAAGAAAGACGATGGAATCGGCGAGCCGATTTCCATTCCGCTTCCGGTCTAGCCCGATCCCCGGCGCGTCCGGCCGAGAGACGGATTTCACGCGTGCCCGCGCCGATCCTAGATCCGGTTCCCGCGCGCTCGCGCCTCGGCCGTTTTACGTAACGCGGAGGAAAGCGCGCGCCGGCCCGGCGATCGCGGCGACGGCGACTCTGTTCACCATCGGCCGCCGAGAGAGCCCGCCTAATTAAGGTCGCCCCGGTTCTCTATTGAGCAAACGAATTTTCTAACGGGCCGGGATCAACGGTCGGTCCAGCCGCCGCTCGGGTGCCCCGCCTTGACTTCCTAAACCGCACGGGGAAAGAGATCTTCCCGAATTGCGTAACTAGATAACGGTCCGCTGCGGCATTGTTGCGTAACCGCGATCCAAGACTCACCGTTAACGCTCTTATATAATTCCTTGTTTTTATATAATCTAGGAGCCGGCTCGCGCGGAGGGGCCGACGGCAGAAAAGATTCTGCGGGCTCGCCGCCTCCGCCCCCGCCGGGCCGCGTTACTAAATTATGGAAATATCCCGGTAAACAATGTCTGGTCTAATGAAAAGGAACGCGAAGAGAAGCGGAGAGAAGCGGAGAGGAGGAGACTAGCCAATTTCACGCGGATTTCAAGATTCGTCGGCGTTGCTTTCTTTTCTCCGCTTCTCTTCCCGGTCGCGGAAGCCGCGAATTTCACCACGGTCAATAAGAAGCGATTGCCTGCCCGACCCGCCTGCGACTATCCTTTCGGCGTCCGCGACGAGCTTCCGGTACCGCGACGCAACCGCGCCTGTTCATGCAATACCGCACCGCGCGATTCTATCTTACTCGACGGTAGCCTTGGTCAGAGTCAGTCGAGGTTTACAAAGTATTATCCGTGAATTTTGATTACAATTACACCGATTCCCAATCGAACGAGCGTTAATTCTAGCAGCGATAGACAATAAGTCTGCGATAGCGTTGGAGGATAAAGAGTATACTAAAAGAGTTGAACGGTGAGTCATAGGACGATCGAAACAGAATCTAGGTTCGTCTGAATTTCGTTGACTTCAATGATAGCAGGTTCTCTTCTCGTGCGGCTCGGCGGGTGTACACCTAGCGAACCGAGAAAATCGGGGTCCGTGACATTGAGTCGCACATCCGGCTACCTGTTCGGTAGCGTTGCTTCGGTATTCATATTCATCCTTCCTTCCTTTCGTTCTATCTATCTACGTATCTATCTATGTAACCTTATCTATCTATCTATCCGTCTCTCCTCCAGCGGACACGCGGAGCAATTTTGTACTCTTTCTCGCGAACGTCATTCCGTTGATTCACGTTTACTGTACAGGGTTCGGCCGATGGTGAACGGCCGTCCCGGGCCGGCGGCGCGAAGAAGCGAAGCTCGGATGCTGCGACTCGGAGGATCGATGATCGAGGAGGCGTAGATAAATTCGACGGGGGTCTGCCGATGACGCGCGCCGCGGCGACGCGGTCACTCGGCCGTCGCGTACGATTTTCGGAGGTTCAGCTCGGACGCCGCGAGGCTGTCGCCTTTGACGTAGTAGTCGGCCGCGTCCCTTCTTCCGAACGAGGTGGACGCCGCCGTCCCAGCGGAGCCGTTCGACAGGCCGTTGCTCTGCTGGTGGTCCTTCTTCGACACGCCGTTCATCGTCGTCCGCTTGTTCTTCTGCCGGTAGCTCTCCTGGTAGAACTCGCTGAACAGGAAGAAGAACATCACCGCGTGCATACCGATCCACCAGACGAACGCCATCGGGTAGTTGCAGTCGATGAACAGCAGCTGGAACGCGTGCACCATCACGGCGATGAACTGGATCATCTGGAAGACGGTCAGGTACTTCTTCCACCACAGGTACGGCTGCATCTTAGGGCCCAGCGCGGCCAGCAGGTAGTACATGTACATCACGATGTGCACGAACGTGTTCAGGAAGCCGAAGAAGGTCGAGTGACCGCCTGCAAGGACATCGAGAGTTAACAGGTTGATTTGATGGCAGCTGAGATAGGTAGGTATGAATACTCGATCGGGTTTCGTTCTGTTTTAGTAGTTTCGATTATAAAGGGGTTTATTGGAATTTTATGGGCTTCTAGAGATGCCATTTAATTATTAAGTAAGAAGAGTTATTTAGTCATTTGAACTGGCGTTTAGAAGTTAGAATAGGTTTTCAGTTTCTTCGGATATTCGTTGTAATATTCGAGTGGAATTTGTATTCGTCATTTCGGATATTCAATGCGTTAACCCTTTGCGGTCCGAAGTGCTCTGTTTCTCACTTTCAGGTTCACGTCGACATTCATTCAATTACAGCTTAATACGCTCTATTTATTTATCCAATACTTGGGAGTCATTGAAATGTTACCTTCAAACGGTACAATCGTGATACTGCAAATAAATATAGAAAAAACTGTTAAAACAGGTAGAGGTTGCAAAATAGAATGTCGAGTCTGACTCGAGGACTGCTAAGGGTTAAGACATTCATAATCGCGAAACAAAGGAATCGGTCATTTTGACTGGTACGGTACTATTAATTATTATTAATATATAGTCTCGAAGTGTCCAGGATACATGGAAAGTAGACTGCTCTCCGAGTTTCGAACGTCACTCGCAGTTCACTCGGGATTTAAACGAGAGCAGTTTCCAGCGTGCTCCGGATACGGCTCAAGGACAAGCCGAGAGTTATATCTAACGGGGAATCGCGTGGGAAATTCATTTATTCCCGATCAAGGAGAAAAAGAAGTTGCAGCCGCGCTCGACGAGCATTGGCGGTTGCAAAAGTCGGAGCGTTCGAATGTCCGCTCGCCGGACTTTTTCCGCGGAACGAGTTCCTCCGCGCGGAGCCGCTTTAACGGCGCAGCTTCGGGACCAGTTTTATGGGAGACTCGCCGCGAATTGGACACTGACCGACCCGAAACCGCGTTCCCCGGGGAGAAATAAAACGACCGAATGACACGGATTCCGTTGACGAGTTGTGAAACAAGACTGCGCGCGTATTACCAATCGGATACCACGCCGGTAGCCGGGACTCTGAAAAATTCGACCCGAGGCAGATCTAAATAGGCACGTTGATGTAAATACCGATTAAAATGCGGCGATTTCTGGGTGCCGATCAACTGGACCACGGGATTTACGACTTCGTCACGATCTTTCTCGGCGGAAGGCCAAGTTCGCGAAAGATTGTCCGGAACGCGAGTTGTATGATTAAAGAGCTGTTCAAATTCAGAATGACTATTTCTTTTCATGGATTTATTGTTAAGACATTCAGCTTTAATATCGGCAAAGGAAATTGTAATAAATATAATTTGAAACTCATTTTTCTAGAAAATGGGGACCATTGTTACTGCTTTCGATTTCTAGATGTGTACTATGCATAGGGTTTCATTCGAAAACGGATTTTTGCCTTCTTGTAAGACATTAACGCTAGATTTACGTTCGGACGTTTATAATTTTATTCTATTGTTCCTAGAATCAGAGTCGACTGAAATTTAAATAATATTTAAGAAATTCGATATCCATCAAATTCGATATACTATATTAAATCTAGCGTTAATGTTGTAGCGAAAAGTTGTCGATTTCATAGAGGTTGATCTTTACGTACCTGGTGTGAACTTGACGCCGAACCACACCGACATCGGCATGCAACCGTGGTGAATGACGTGCAAAGTCGACACGTGATTGTTCTTCTTCCTCAATATGAAGAAGATCTACAAAGGCGAGCGAATGAACGACCGGTCTTAGAGAAAATCGGTAACCGGGGGTACAGTTACGTCGCGCAGTGCGGCTAAAACATTCTTCTGAACAAATCTCGATAACTCGAAAAGTACGAGCGATAGGAACAAATGTTTCAGACAAAAGTTGTAAGGTATAGAGCTAAGAATATGGTGGTTACCGTTTTATCGGCTAAGTGGCCGATACGTCACCGGCGCTCAATGTATTAACAGTCGAATTTTCGGGTTTCGCTCAGAGCCGCACTGCGCGTCGCCTCGAGTCGGCTTTCGGCTACTCACCGTGTCCATGAACTCCGAGAACTTCGATATGTAATACCACCAGGAAGCGTGCGCCATCTGCGCTATGCAAAAGATCGATTAGAATCATCTGCCGCGGCTCGTTCCGAGATTCACCGAATAAGGTAAATGACCCTTTCTTCCGACACGCGGAAGTGCAATGGTTCCTTCGAGATGCGCACCGAGTTTACAGAATACACGAACAACTCCCTTGAATATTATGCTGTTAACCCTTTGCACTCCAGAAGTTTTTCACCGGAAATATTCAATACTTTCTAATGACAGACGACATTTTCTCAGATTGAATTAAGAAATCTCACATGCATCGAGGAGAACTATGTTCTTTCGATATTTCGTACATTGATGCATTATACAAAGAAATTATGAATTTTCGCAATTTTTCTTTTCTCTATTTGATCGATTACTCGTTTGGTGCTCTCGTTGTCTCAGGAGACATCTCGAACAGGAACATTTACCTTACATGGTGACGGAGGCAAATATTCGGAGATTCGATTTCGATCTCGTTTGAATCGTTCATTCATAATGAAGATCTTATTTGCGAGGCCTCCGAACATTTGTTCCGAACAGATGCTTGAACAGTGAGTTAAAGCCAACGATAATAACGTGTGTGCTTAGCCCCTTGATTTATTTTTTAACTGCGATCGATGCAACTACTTGAGAAAGAATTTTGATGCTCGTTTCTTCAAATTCGGTTTACAATTATCATCACGATATCGTAGGTCAAGGGGTCAAGCAGAATGACAATCGAGTGGACTGTAAGTGCATGTAGTTCGCTGTCGTGTAAGTAGTGTCTGTTTTTGTATGCTTCTGTATACTTGCACTTTAACACTTTAACCGCTGCGACAGTTATCGGCGCGAATCCTTCATCAGAATCGAAGATAAATTTCTATCGAATTTCATCGAATATATCAATTAGCGTACCATAAACGCCGACTGTTCGCTCTCCGTTTCGACTTTGCAGCGGTTCACGTGTTAAGGACGGTGTTAATGGCGTGAAGCGGCTATTTCAGTACTTGTTAGCTTGCCCAAGTAACTCTACGGTAATTTCCAAATACTACTTGTGTACACAGCAGCAGATAAAAAGACCGGCTGAAGAAAGTTACGCTAACAGACTACATAGATGAGAGACAGAACGAACGATCGAGACAAAAGCCTCTGCTTGCCAGGACTACGATACGACCGTTCGGATATCTACCGTAGGGGATCCTTCGAGGAGAATTGAATTTGTGCGAAGTTACACGTCGCGTCGGATCGTTCCGCGATACTTGGAAATAGTACTTTTGTTACTTGGTGCGCTTTCAAGGCCGACAGGACGACACATCGCGTTTACTTTCGCAACGTCCGATCAGGTGTTTGCTCTACCTGCATCGGTAAATCATCTTCCAACGCATTGACACGTTAAGCGCCACGAAAATCTTAAGCGTTTTCCCATAGAGTTTGTCTTTTGTAGCAAAGATAGGAATAATTATGAATCGTTTGGCGTTGCAACGTTTGCCTTACACTATCAACTTAGTTGCTTTATTAAACATTTTCATTTCACATCGGTTGTCTTGTGTGTTACGATTAGTTTTTAGTCATTCGGAAGCGTCGGTCACCGGTGACTGATATGGCGCTTAACGTGTTAAGCGTACACTGGTAGAGCAAACATCGAAAGTGAAAACATTGTACGCTGTGTAGAATGGAAGTCAGTCTTGAAAGGGTTAAAGGTAATAATGAAAACTGTATAGAGTGTACAAACGAATCCCAACAGGAAGTTTCGAGTTCTGATACTCCTTAGCAAATCGAAACACGTAGTCGAAGCCAAACGATCGTTAATAAAAACGTTCACTTGGAGTTACGAAACACTCTGTACGGCGATTGTTTTGTTCAGTGCGGCCACGTCCAAGTAGGGCTTTCGCCGGCTACAGCTGCGCCTCGAGCTGCGCGTCGAGTCTAGCTTTCGAGGAGTGGGGGTAGTAGTTAGGGCTCGCGCGGCGGCCCTATCTAGCGTCCCATTTATGGATTACTTGTTTACAAGACTATCTAAGGATCCAACTAATCTCCATTATCAACAAGCAAAATATTTCTTAGTATCGATTGAAGGTAGCTCTTTGCTAATGGATAGCTGTTTTCAATTTTAATTTCAAATATCTATTGATATTTATATCGATAGATACTAAGGAATATTTTGTCCGTAAGACTATTTAAGGATCCAACTGATCTTCGATATCAATAGACAAAATATTCCTTAGTATCTATCGATATAAATATCAATAGATATTTGAAATTAAAATTGAATTGCTTATAAAGCGTACTGATCTTTTATCTGATAGATTAAGTCACATTCAAGCTTTCGCTGACTTTGTACCATTCTTAGCGTGTCAAGTAGATCATCGATAGCTTTCAGCAACCGGAGAATTTACTCTTTTCCATGACAACCACCAAGCTACTCTCCACGCTTCGAGCTCGACGCAGGATCGACTCTCGCCCGACTTGGACGTGTCGGTTTTCATGTAACTTGCGCAAAGTGTTAATAGGGAATGAGTCACCAACCCTTATTGCCATGGGGCGATCACTGGTGTCTACGGGTTGGCACCTTAGAGAATATTCGCCAGTCAGCCATCCGGACATTCCTATCTGCAACCACAACCGCCCAGAGGCCATTCTCCGATAAGTGAAAAAAGAAATCAACAAATGGAAGAGAAAGGCGTATACAGCTAGAGAGAGAGAAAGAGAGAGAGAGAAAGGGAAAGAGAGTGGGGGGCGCCAGGCGGACGCGCCTGGGGGAAGAAAAGCTACGACCGACGGTAAATCTGCTCTCGGTCGCAGTTGATTAATGAAGGTCAGACGCGGACGCATCTTCGTCGCCGGAGCGCGTTCCGCGCGCGCTGCACGCGGGTTCTTACTTACGCGTACGGTTGCTCGCTCGTTTCGCTCCCGCGAACACGCGGCGCGGTTCGCATATCGCACACGGGCAACAACGCGCGGCGGAATTTCCCGATCGGTAACACGATTATCGAGAAGAGAGGAGGATTATCGAGCAGCTCCTGGTCCCAGTTGGTTTCGTCCGGCTACAACCTTCGTGCTGCACATGCGGCTCGGACTGGACACGCTCGGGGAACAAGCGGAGACAGAAACGGTTCTACTGTTGCTACGACAAGGCAGAGTGGAAGCGACTTCGAGCGGAGACGAGCAAGATCGACGTTTCTATGTTACATTCTCGTCTAGAGTCTGGAACAGTTTTCGATGGATGGACCACGATGGATACTTCGCGTGATCTGTCGTGAGGGTGCTGGGGTCACTCGGGAGTCATTGAAATGTTACCTTTAAATGGTACAATTGTGATGCTACAAATAAATATAGAAAAAATTGTTAAAACGGGACATAGGACTGTTAAGGGTTAGATCGATGATTCTTGTCGGACGAGTATACCGAATGGTTGACAGGGGAACCGAACGAAGGGACGTTTCCGGTGTTCTTTGGGAATGCTCGCCCGTCTCCGGCTCGAAGATACAATCGTCGATTATACAGTGTGAAAGCGTAAAAGCGTTTTTAGTACGTTTCACTCCTCCATCGCAGCCTCCGTTTTCCTACCCTCGAGTCGAAGGCCTACAAAAGCAGCAAACAACCCGCGTGACATAGCTTCTCCACTTCTACCCATTCAAAGTACCAGCTGGAAACGTTTCATTCGCTGCCGTGTTTTGGGTACAAGTCGGCCAGTTAGGGGTTGTCTGGTCGACGGCTCATCGAGGAATCCCATCTAACGTGTTCTGCGCTTTAGTTGAGATATATATGCTCGCGTATACACTGTCGCCCATAAGTAAAGATCTAAGCAACGCGGTGGACTTGGAGAAAATAATGTTCGTTCGCAACGTCGCCAATAACTTGGATGTTCCTTTAAATTTGCTAATAATTGGAAAAGAATTTCAGAGTTAACTAACTCTTTGCACTCGGAAGTTTCTCACTAGAAATATTTTAACATTTTCCTATGAGATAAAACCGATATTTTGTGAAACTAAGCCGACGAGAAATCACGCTATTTTATTTGAGCATTTCTCAAAATGATGCATTATAGGAAATATAATATAGAATATCAAATTTTGTAGTTTTACTGTATGAAATCGAGTGGTGAGAGTCACCTCTCGAGTGCAAAGGGTTGATAGACTAAAAACCCATTACTACCCTAATTTCCATATCTTCCAATTGACTTCAATCCTGAAATTCGAATGTTCCATCGAAACCTTTGATCATTCGCAACGAGAAATCGTTTCGACTGCGAACGGTTAATCTGAGTTTCGCGCGACAGGTTGATTACCGTTTCACGTTTCACGGTGTTTATAAACCGGTAGCTTATGGACGGAAGTGTTACGCGCGCGGTGTTCGATGGGAAATCCTGTTGGATGCCGGCAACACACCGTCTGGTTATTGATATTCGTGGGTGTTGATCTCGTCCATCTGTGGAAGAGAGTGCGGAGAACACGGATACTTACCCTGATCGCTACCGGATTGTCGGAATAGTCCACCGGTTGGCAATAGAAACTATAGTGGCCCCACCATCCGCCCATCAGGCACTGTTTGTTGGTCGGAAAATGAATGTTTCGTCATATTTTTCTGCGTTACGCTCGCGGCGAAGGTTAGTCCCTATCGAGCTCGGAACCGGTTACACACCCGCTCTTTCAGCTCGCGTTGCCCGTACGCACTTTATCATTATGATCCCCCTTTAGCATACCACCTTTCGGTCTCTCACTTTCCAGGGTTCGTCGACTCCCGCCTGTTCTTGGCCGCTAAATCGTCTCCGAGAGGAATTCGGAGATTTGGCAAAGATCTTACGCGAACAATTCTATGTTTACCTATTCGCAGCTGTGCAATTTTGTTTATCAATATTCCTGCATAGAGTGGTACGTTTGAAGACAATCTGGCATTGATATTGATGCGTATAAAATGTCATTAGTAATTTTCAAAGGAAAGCACGACGCGTGGCACGTCTTCGCAAGTTAACACGTTGAATGAGGCTCACCGGTGATCAAGCAAATTGGATCACTATATGCTTATTGGCAAACATTTCTATATCATAAATAATGCTACCCATTGCGGTGACATTCAGTTTGATGAACGCGCAAAGATAATATCCAATTCAGTCGAATTTGATACTATATTTTTTCCATTTTGCGTATTTTGCTGCATGAAATCGTGCGGCGTTCAACGTGTCAAGATGAACAAGTATATAGAGCTACCACAACCATATAACTACGTTCGTAGTACTCTGCTAGCGAAACGAGTGGAAAACGGCTGTACGATTCTCGTTTCCCGGTTTCCCCGGTGGCAAACTGGTTGCGACGAAATGGCGGAGCGGCCGGCGAAGGAAGTCACGTGGAAGGGAGTCGGCGAACGTGCGTCCCCGTTAAATGCCGATCGATCTTTTATTCGGACGCGAGCTGCGCGCGGTTCCGAACTCGACGACTCGCTGGTTCGCCGGATTCGAATGGATCGTGCCGCGAGGACTTTGCTCCTTCGGTTCCTTATTTACGCTCGCTTCGTCGGCGACCGTCGAGAGGGGGGATTCGGGGTTCACGGACAACACGCGCGGGTGGGTGCAGAGAAAAGACGGAGGAGAAATAGATCGTCGAGGAACGTCGACGGTTCGACGCAGAGACAACGCGTTACCTCGTAGAACAGCCACGCGGAGAAGAGCATCTGGAACAGATTGTAGGCCACCAGGACTTTCTTCAACTGAAACGGCTTCCTGTTCTCCATCAGCTTCGGCCCGAGGACCTTCACGAAGTACACGTAGCTCAGGCAGATGAACAGGGTGGGGAACGGTGAACGGATCATGAACCAATTCGTCGTCCTGCGGTCTGAAAAGAGAAATCGGCTCAGCGAACGATTGACTCGTTGACTCGGGGACAACTTAACGCGGTTCAGAGTACGTATCGCGATGTTATTCTCTGCGTTAACACATTGAGCACACCTAATACAATGGCAAGATGTCACATTATTTTCGTTTTGTATATGTTTCTCTGTAACAATCGTGCGGCACTCAACGTGTTAATGGTTACTCTTCGAGGTCTTCGGAAGTTATAAGTCGCTCAGAAGCTAGCGTGGTTAAGTCGATTTCTGGATATTTTAGTTGTTCAAGGATTTACTCGTTTCGTCTAGGTCAGAAAGCGCTTTATAGCTTCTGAATACTTTGTAGAATTATTCCAGAAGCGAACACATTCATTTTCTCAATGTTTCTTTCATAAACTTGCTTCCGAGCGACTGAAATACGCGAAGCTCGTCTAGTAATCGATCTTATGTTTCATAAACGTAGTCAAACATTGCTACATCCTACTCAAGCACCCGTATTCTTATATATTGTTATATAACATAAACTGTTTACCTAAATTATAAATTGAATCTACCAATGTAGTATGTAATATATAATACCGAAACATTGATAAAACTTTTCATTTCCAAGCGATCCCAAAATGAGCGACTTTCTCCCACGATCATTTAGTTCAAACGTTGATCGCACGCAATAAAACAAGAAAGAGACCGCGAAGGAAGTTCGAGGATCGAGCGGTTCACGGTGGCATGAGTCGTCTGCCGGCTCGGGCACACCTGGCGAGGCGACGGGTAAAAGTGTAACAACCTCGACCTTGAGGCTCTTCACGCGATACCCTTCCTCACCCTTCCCGTCCTTCGAAGGTTCAATCAACTATCGCGTCACCGCGTCAAAACCAGTTGTGAACTCCGTTTCATTGAATCATCCCCGGCCGGTGTCAACGTCTCAGCGGCCTTGCCGCGCGATCTCCGTGAGGAATAAATCGTTCCGAGGTCGATCAGATCCACGATCGATCCTCGCTCATTACAGAAAATTCTATGATCTAGTCCTCCGAAGAATATTCCGACGTGTCGTTCTCGCAACGACCCAAGTTTCCCGTTGCCTTCGACGAGATCAACGAACCAGCGACCTTAAGCCGCTTTCGTTGGACTACTCAGGGTCCTCGCGGGACGTTCAACATTGATCAATGTGCTATCCGGACGTTGAATAAAGATATAACACGAATTTATCGATACGTAGCGGAGATTATAATTGGAACCATTAATCACTGGGAAGCAGATTGCTCGATAAATTCTGGGAGGGAACTTGAATTAACCCTTTGCGCTCCTTTCTCATATTTCGCACATTGATGCATTATACAAAGTTTAATATTAAACATCAGTTTTGCTGTGTCAAATCATTTGACCCAGAGGCGCCTCTGGAGTCCAAAGGGTTAAAATTGAGTTAGTGTCACGTTGCTGAATTTTCTATCATTCACTTGAATTCGAACAAATATAGTTCTTTGTCTCCATTTCACAGTAGATCTAGCTTGTCTTTCTGATATTTTTATGGAACTTAAAAGAGCAGAAGAATTACAAGAGCGTCACGAGATTCTCCATCTTTGCAATAATTACGAAAAAAAAAAATCATTTGGATAGATTCTAGTGTTACTAGAGTCACTACCAGAGTTGCCAGTGTTCAGTTTCAAGTTTAACTACTCGGAGACTCGCAGTTCCTGGGGAACACCGAACGAAAGAGAAACGTAATCCATTGAAACCATAAAAGAATCTTTTCCTCGATGTTTCATTCGTTTCTAAAAATGTCGTCTTCGAGTTCCAGGAATACACTTTCGTGCGTGTTTGTGCGGCTAAGCGGTGGCTCGAAAATCTTCCTCGGAAGCCCGGGTCGCGCGCACTGAATAATTCATTTCCGATGCAACGTCGCCGCTGCACAACGCGACGAATGACGTTCGCCTAACTGCAACGCGATTCCTCCTACGTCCGCAACGTTTTCCTGCTTGCGCGCTCGTCGAAATCTCCGGATCGACGCACGGCGCGGCCGAATGGCCGTTTCCTGGACGAAACTCGGTAACCTTTTGCGCTCGGAAATGTCTCTTATTAGAAATATTTAGCAATTTCTGACAAGATGAAGACGATATTCTTTGAAACTAACTCGAAGGGAGATCGCAAGTACATTAACCTTTACTCCAGGTTATTTTATAATCTATCAGTAACTAAAATTTTTATAGTATTCCTAGCGAAAATGAGAAATTCTATAACCTTTCTTCGATCTTTTATTTTCCTTAGTACAAAATTTGAATGTGCGGAAAATCAAATAATTTTAGGGTGGTTTTTTAAGATTCATTAAAATATTTAGTATTATAACTGGTGCAATATTGGAGCCTACAGAGTTCAAGGGGTTAAGAAACAAAGCTATTTTATTTCATTTCATATTGAGGCATTATACGAAGTTGAATTAACAATAATGCAGCTTGAAACGCTAACATTCACTTTTATCTCACGCGACGGTATATAATAATAAATTTATATGACTCTTCACTTTTCTGCGATCTTAATTATCGTAGACGCAATCGAAGAGGATTGTCGTTGTTTCCCTCAAGCCGCGATCACCGTGATCGACCGAATACTTTTGAACAGTAATTTGCATTAACGACCACGAACGTGTCAATTGTCTCGCGAAAATAATACGCGATTAGGCTTTTTGCGTAGGAACATCGACTCCGACGGATTACGAAAGCCCGACCTCGCGCGAAACACCTCGCCGATGAGATTCTTGTCGTCCGGGTATCGAAATCCAAGGAATCGCCGTGTTATTCCGTAGTCGAATCAGATTACACGTGATTCCGTCGAGCGACGATGAAGCCGGTTTTCGAATTCTTTCGCAATATCTCGCCCGCTTTCGCCAATATACTCGTGTTGCCCCTTTTCATCCTAAATCGTATTCAAAAAACCATAAATTCTAATCTGAAGAATCCAAGAAAAAACTTGTTTCTGAAACTTTAACCAAACTCGATTCTGAAATCTTATGAAATCGATGATTCAAAAAGAAAAACGAACCACGGGTAATTCCTTTGGCAAAGATAGGTTTACGGAGCGCGTCAATTTGACGCGTATTGAATTTTGTAAACATTATTTGGTAAATGTTTCGGTTGATCCGATCACACGAATATATATCTTAATCGTCTATGTTTGAATTTATAATTTTCAAAACCTAAATAGGCGAATGTCAACTGTTCTGTGAACAATAGAATAAACTGTACAATAAATGCCCGTAGACCTAGCGTTAAAAAATTTGAAGAACGCGAACCATGTAATGGAAATGAACGAATTCCGATTGAACGGAGACGAGTTTCGATTCCTACGAGGAAACAATCGAATTCTTTCGGCTGAGTAATTGTATTCGAAGTTCCCTCAAATATTCGAGCATTCGCGAATGAATTCCTCGTTACGTCTCGCGTCTGTTACATAAACAACGCGAGCAGCGAGACGAAATCGCGGCGGCGCGCAAGCAAACCGAGGAATCTTTATTTGCAACGTGGTTTACGCGTCGCTCGAGCACTTCCGTCGGTTTCCACGGATAAACCGCGCGACAGAATCGTCGTAACCGCTCGAAGATCGTTTTTCACGCCTCGAGTGTCACGTCAATTGAAATTAATCTTCTTCCGCTAATCTACGGGACAATATTTAACCTCATAGTTATCGATTATCGACGCAGTCGTCTGTTCTAGAGTAAAAAGCACATTGCTCGTAGTCGTTACGAGAACAAGAAATTCGCATAACCGTAAGACACGACCGCGAGGATGGTTTTTACTTAATGACGCGTCAACTTATTAGCGCCACAAGTTCATTAGCGACAACTCGGCGCGTGGATGTACAGAGAACTAATTACCAGATTAATACGGTCGTATCATTGATTAAACATGATTCGCGTCGTTAATTCGCAAACTCGACAAGATTAATGCATCTCGTAAAAGTATCATCGATATTAACTTTATTTCACACGGACATTGATGGCGAATGAAAAAGTTTAGTAATAAACTAGATAACGTAATCTAATAACCCCAGTACCGAGTCATTAATAAATATTTTCAACGCTAGCTTCTGCAAATACATGGGAATGTTCACTCGATTCTTCGAATACCTTCAAATTTCGAAACTCAGCTGTTCGATCGGTTTGAACGATAATTAGTTACGCGTATAATTTTCTAACGAGCCATCGAAGTTTCTGTTCGATCCAGGCTCTAGAATTCGTTTCGCAATCTGTAAATACCGAGTCACTATTAACGCTAGATTTACGGACGTATTCTACACTTTATCCTATTGTTCCCAGAAAGCTGTTCGTCTACAGAAATCCTGAGAATTGCAGCTTCGAAACCGCGTATTCGCACAATTCCATGAGAATCGATCGAAACTGCTACCAAATAATCAGTAAAACATTCAGTATCCGTCAAACTGACGGGTTCGCTGAACCTGCAGTTGAAACGCACCGCTAAAAACAATCGAAAATAGATACTCGGCAATCTGAACGAGACGGGATAACCTCACCCGGAGTTATCCCGGTTAATTAGGAATTTTCCCGAGAACATTATTGTGTAAAGCACGTTGCGCTCGGATTTAATTGCGATCCTCGAAGTGTCGCGATCGTACGCCGATTTTTTCCCATCGAATTTTTTTCCTCGGCTCGTGCATCATGCATCGGTGTCGCTGGGACGGTCGCGTCGGTTCATCTCGTCACGGAACGCCGCTCGGTTTTTCTCCTCATCCGCTTGTGCACTTGTAATTAGCGGCAAGGGTTTTATTAGTTATTAATTACTTCTCGCCGCACGAGCCGTCTCCCCGTGACACGTCGCGCTCCGTTCGGCTCGTGTTCGTTCTGTCATATCTACGTCCATTTTTTCTTTATTTGTTTCGGCGCGAGCAAACACTCAGTCGCGCGGAAAATTACGGATTTTCCCGGGCCTCTCGCATGCGAGCGATTAATACGGCGTCGAATGTTTGCGTGATTTATTAGCGGCCGCTCGGGACAAATATGCGATTGCGATTTACACGGTTCCGTCCGTTTCAGTTCGTTCCTGCCGAGTAGAATTGTAATGCCCGGAATTTTCACCTATTGCACTCGCTGATTTTTTAATCCTCCGACCGAGAGTTTTCATCCACTTGATTTCACACGGAAAATTGCGGAGATTGATAGTTAATATTGAGGTCTGTGCAATGCATCTATAGGGAAACACGTAAATCAAGGAAAAGAGTTATCTGATTTCAGGGAGTTTATTTTAAAGACTCTTATCTGCTGATTCGGAAACTATGATCATTTCTAGCGGGAAGCTTTCGAATTTCCTTTTTAATTTCCTGCACTTTGTCGAGACATTTTTAACCCTTAGCACTCCGGATGGTTTTGTAATCTATCAGCAATTGCAACTGATTTTTATAGTATCTCTAAATGGAAAATGTTATATTGCAACGTCTCTTAGATTTCTTTATTTTCCTTCTTAATACAAAATTTGGATGTACAGAAGAAAAGCAAGAAATCAGTGGATACTTTGACCCGTCCGGTGGTTTCAGTCTTGACGAAATTCGAAGGTAAGTTTTTCCCGATAGAAATCGTTAACTGCGGCAAATGCGGTTCTACTTGACACCGTTTTCCCACGTTGCTGTATAAAAGTAATAATATGCGTACGAACCGGCAGTCTAGTTTTATTTGTTGCATAGTGCAGTACGTTTCTAAACAACTAACCGCTTGATTACGCGATCGTGTCCAAAGGTTAATCGCCTTTTACGAAGTCCGGTTGCAAAATTTCACGGAGCGATAAATTAATCATCGGAACGGTGAACTTTTTAAAGGTTCGAAGTTCAGTGTACGGACGTGTTTCGGTCGGCGAAGTTTACGGATATTATCGCGCGGTTGAATGGACGTTTCATCGAAAGTTATCGATGACACTTGTCTCGCAAAGTCCATTTTTTATTTTATTCCAAGATTATTCCAACATTATTCTAACCGTACACAAAGTGCGTTAATTAGCACATGCATTCATCTCGCGCCGATTGACTCAACTCATTGTCGACCGACTAATTAATGGCTATACTTAAAATAATTTACAAACCGTCGAAGTTCCACTGCTAAAACGTTACACTCCCACAATTGCTTAACCAGATGCTAACTGGTTAGCTAAACTGTCAGCGGCACGTCAATAAAATCTTACGTTGTATTTCTATTACCTCCAATTAAACGTACGTATTCCTAAAGATCGAGCTTGGGGAACTAAACTTGAAACTTTATCGAATTCCAGCTAAATAGAAATCGAATTTAGGAATGTGCAGGTTAGAACCATTGAACAGTCGGATCCTTCCTAGATTTTCTAATTAAGAGGTCAAATACTAAAACTATGTAGCAGTTAAACTAATTTTCTAATTCCTCTATGGAAACTTCAAAAGTACATCTATCGAGACTTCAGCTGATATACAGTTTAATTTACGTATTGGTAAATGAGTTTCCTCAATAATTTCCCAGAGAAACATCTGTTCTTGTAATTAATGCAGACAGAAGGCATCAATAATTGGTCGTTTTCACCTGTCCAGTAGTTTTAGTGTTAAAGTCTTTACCGAGTGCTCGCCTCCAATGTCACGAGACACCGAGAAAAAGAAAGAAAGCCGTTCATCTCCTCGCGCGTTCTCCTTGGTCGTCTGGCGGCCGTTAATCGACACGCCGAAGGATCAAACGATTCAGGGACAACGCGTGTCCAGGAATTCGCGTGT